TGCCTTCAAATCTCTGTATAACACAATGCAATGATAAATAGATAAGATATGATGAGAATAATTTAGAATCTCTTCACCGAAGTGAGGAGTTTAAGTCCAATCACATTCTTATTTTCGCATCATGGATCTAAAATTAGAAGAACCAAAAGAAATTCCATAACAAGAAATTTATTATATATTCTTATTCTGCAGACACAAAAATAAGTTCAGCTACTCTCTGCATACAAATACATTACTCTTGCCAAAACAAGCCCAAATAAACATTATTAAAAAGACACAATCAATAGGGGTATAAAGTATGGAAATTCCCAAACAAAATGTTGATATAATGAATTGTCAGGAAGAATCTAAATAATATCATGTGGTACCAAACATCAGTAATACTTACCTGTGAGCAATAGATGGAGTCTGAAAGTGCATTGCAAAGACAGCATTGTACACATCCCTGAAAATTACGAAGATCTGCTTCTCCTCAAAGAAACCAGCTTTCGGATTCTCCAGCACATTAACTAGAGACTTCTCACAGTATTCCACAAGAAGGAGAACCTCCTTAGTTCTACCCATATCAAAGATGGTATGGGCATAAATGGTGATAATGTTGGGGTGCCCTTTAATTGATTTCATAACTGAGATCTCCTTCATTACTAGTTTTACCGATTCTTCATCATTACATATGATGTGCTTTGAAGCATACTACTTGGAACCATGTATTGCATCTCAAGCACAATAAACAGAGGAGAATCCACCATCTGCAATGACATTTTGAACCTGAACTTTGAAATTTCCAATGTCGATAACACGACCTTCAAGCCCAGTTTGCTCCATAGATGTAAAAGGTTTGAACCTCCACATGGTCGGTAGTGATATACAAAAACTTGTGAGAACTCAATGAAACAAGTAATGATTACATGTTTTAATGCATTAGCATCAAATATCAATCATTCATATGTAACCTATATTTCAATAAGTTAATTGGGATCAAAGTTTATAGCAGCTATTTCTAAAGAGCTTCTACTGTTGTATCAACAGTTATTTAAGAATTGGGTCTAAAATAGAACGAAGTAATGATTACGGCTTCTTTTTAAGGTATCAGCTTAAATTACAAACTATTGGTAGATAGCCTATACATGATGAACTTATTGGAGACAAATTTGTTACTATTTATCCTGGAGGTGTGCCTGAGCTCTACCTAATACAATTCTGACGAGCACAACCATCTGAACCCCATAATTTCCATGTACTGTGAAAGAGTGACACAAAAAGTAAAAAGTTTTTCTTTGTTTCGTGCTAAACGAGCAGCCAGTTATCAACAAATGAGTGACACAGATTTTGAGCAACCAACATGGATGTGCTGAAGTGTATTTAGAAAATCTTATCTCATGTACTCTAATATAGCTGTTCTAGCATTAGTCAGTAGCTCTGCAATGAATAATCAAAATCCCCATTTCACTGTCACTAATGGTTATCAATTTCCCTATAGATTATCTATCAAACATCAATGTTTGGATGCATCAATACCAAATATCAGTTATTCTTATGCATCCTATACTTCAACAAGTTGATTAGATTAAAATCTATAGCGGTTATTTCTAAATTTGAGAATGAATCAGAGTGAGCTTCTACGGTTATCAACAAGGTCTTAGCATTTAATACCGTCTACTTGTTGATAGCCTATACCTGTACATTTGATTGGAGACAAAGTTATTGTTATGCTGGAGATGTACCTTAGCTATCTCTATCAGAGACAATCTAACGGACAAGCTCTGGAACCACTTAATTTCCAAGAACTTTGGAAAAGTACATTTTTTTTCTGTTTGACACGTCACATTTCGGAAATGAAAAAGGAATATCAGTTTAATCGGGATAAACATGGTCTATTTCCAAACAAAGAGAGAGTTGAAAAGTCCGGAGGAGTCACCAAGGTAATATAATGCTCAACAAGCAGTGAGTTATTGAATATCAAAGTCCACGTGAAGTTAAATTGAACCAGAGTCCAAGGAAACGAGTCCCGATTCTCTCGACAATCTAAGAGGCTAAAGATACTTGTCTCTAGTAAATCCTTCATTACACCAATAATTAACAACATCAAGCTAGCCTTATTATATAGGAAAAAAGTAATGCTATTCATCCCCATTGGGGATGAAAACACAGTCTACGTGACGTTAATGTGGCATTAAATGATAGGTGAAATTATATAAGTCATTTAATTTCACCTTCATTTAACATATCATTTAAAACCACCTAAACTGTGTTTTCATCCCCACTGAAGATGAATAACATTACTCTTGCAAATAAGGAGTAAAAGATTTTGCTTCTTTTAATACATTCTTTAAGTAAGTAGTCACGCCTTACGGGGCGTATACAAATAACACGGGGTTTTCAACCTATCAAATGGCTCGACCCAAATTCACACCTTTAAAATCGGAATTGGTCTTCTCAAGATTATTCGTAAGTCAATATTTTGGTATAGTCGTAAATGCAAATCAACATTTCTTGGGACCTTGGCTCAATGCCTAATTATTCTACAAACTGATTCACGTTTTAACCATCACCTTCTTCCATATTATATGTGGTTTTTTTTTTTTTTTTTAAATTAAGATTGCATTATACATTGTTTTTATTTATTTAGGCCACGTGATACTATTTATTGTGCATATTTTAATATATGGTGAAAATACTAAAAAATTAGAATTTTTTTTCCCTTAAATTGAATGGTACAAATATAGAACTATTTTATATGTTTGTATCGTTTGTTAGATTATGTTGCACAAATCTAAATTCACTTTTGTCAAAGTGAGCTCAACAATATAACTCCTTTTCATTTCACCTTTTTCAATTGTCAAATCCAGTATTAGAAATAATATTTTACGTCACCTAATTTGATGATCAAATGTCACGTTCCAACCATATAAATCTTAAAATCAATTCAAAGATATCGATTTTATAGCATTTATGAGACGAAACAACATAATTCATATCAACTTTTTCAATAAATATCAAATACACTTTCGTAAAATTATAATAAAAACTTATAGTTATAACAACAAAGCATATATTACTTTTCCCATCCCTAATTAATCCGTTAGTAATGGAAACTTGATTTCTTCCCTAGAAGCAATTAGAGAAATCGAATGTTCAATATCATCACCAATATTAAGATTATGTTGTACACTATGCTTGAATGCTTGCACACATCAATCAATGTCAATCACAACTCTATTTCGACCCTCATTAGTACGTGAAATTTCTTGAAGGTAACAAACTGTTTCTTTGGTGCTTGTTTTTTGGTCGGCAGTGTTTGAAACACCATCAATGTGTGAGTTTTGTCCATATCTCCAATGTTCTCCACATCAATGTGTACACTCGAAATGAGTGAGTCACACTGTGTGTGACCCTTACACCATGGCCTAGCATGGTAGAATTTTTGGATGTTTTTAAGATTGTAAGATGAATTGAAATTGTGGTTGCGGCATGGGCCTGAAGCTAGTGTAACTCAACCCATATCCATTTGGGAATACAAATGGGCCTTTTGTAAAATCT